CGGTAATACCGCGAGCGCTGGTGGTGACAAATGTAAGCCCCCCGCCCATCCTCCCCTCCTCACCTCCATTCCTCCTCCCTCCCTCTCCATTCCTCCATCCTCCCTTCCTTCCTCTCCCCTCCCTTCCTCCTCCATCCTTCTCCTCCCTTCCTCCCCTCCCTCACCTCCTCCTTCTCTCCCCGCCTCCCCTCCTTCCCCCGTTCTTTGAAGAACACGAATTTCACTGGTCTTCGGTGCCCAGGTGCTGGAAGTGCCAGTGGCGCAATCTTGGGCTCAGACATCCGCAACCGCTGCCCCCAGGGCTTCAACGCCGATTCTCCTGCCTCAAGGCCTCCCCGAGCAGCTGGGATTGAAGGCATGTGCCACCATGCCCAGCTAATTTTGTGTTTTTAGTAGAGACTGGGTTTCACCATGTTGGTCAGGCTGGCCTCAAACTCCCGACCTCAGGTGATCCACCTGCCTTGGCCTCCCAAAGTGCTGGGATTACAAGCGTGTGCCACCGCACCCGGCCAGTGTAGGCACTTTCAAAACAGTTACCTCAGAATTCCTGAGAGGCAGTACCCAGCCACAGTGAGCGTCATGGTATCAATATTTCCGGAAAAAAATTTTAAAAACAGCTATGAAACGGTGTTTTTAGAGTCGAAGTCTGGAAGACCTAACTCGGGGTCCGGGGAGGTGGGTCCTGCGATGTGGACCCTGGGTGGTGCGCTTGGGAGCCATGGCAGGGCTGGGATCTCTTGCAGCCCAGGGATGGAGCCCGCAGGTGGTGAGTTCGGGAGGCGAGTCGTGGAGGCTGCACTCACATCAATGCCCAGTGCCCTCCCGCAGGGGCCAGGTTCTGTCTCCACGGGGGCGGGGGAAGCACACAGGGTACAGGGAGGGGGGCTGGGTTCTCTCTCCTTGGGACAGGGTGGTGCCGTCGCATGCGTTCCCCAGCTGCAGCCACGAGAAACAATTTGGAGCAGAACCTGGGCTCTGACCTCCCCTCATCCTCAGCCTTCCCCCAAGGACAGGCCGTGAGATGAATGTGGTCACCGGCCCAATCCAGGGGTCTGTGGCCAAACCGCAGACCCGGAGGAAGCAGGCCAGGCCATCTGGGGAGCCGGCTCCCCTCCTCTCCTCCTCTGGCTCCCACAAAGCTGTCTCATCCAGGAGCCAGGCCCGCCTGTGAGCGAGGGGAGGCTGCAGGTGTCCCTTCGGCCTGAAGCGTGTGAAAGCCAGAGGCCCCCACACCACTCTCCAGCCGCATCCCCCTCCCCAGACTCAGGAGGCCAAACCCGCCTTTCACAGCCATCTGTAACCCAGACGTCTGCCTGCAGCTTTGTTGAGCTCAGTCCACAGTGGGCCGTGTGGCCTGGGAGCATCCAAAGGCAGCTGGGGCCTGCCAGGACTGCTGCCCCCAGATCGCCACTTGCTGTGTGTGTGGCTCTGTGGGGCCCCAGCTCCATGATATCCCCAAGCATCTACCACCCGCTCTTCCCAGATTGCAGGGCACACCTGGCAAGACTGCGCAGTGCCACTCTGACGGGCCTGATCTGAACCTGGGCTCAGGGGCATGAGGGAGAGGACTGAGCATGTGGGATGGACAGAGATGGACACCCCTCCCGGGCAGGAGAGGCAGAGCTGCTTCTGACACACAGGCAGTTATCGGGGGGAAGAGAAAGCAGGCAGCGGAGCCACCCCATCTCAAGGCAGCGTGCAGGGCAGAGCCTAAGACAGGGTCCTCCTGCAAGGGCCGGACAAGGAGGAAGGCACGGGCAGGAAATGCATTCAAATCAACAGCAAAGACAAAAGTCACCTAGAAAGGGGGACTCCACCAGACTCTTACCCAGCAGCATGCCCCTCCTGCCTGAGCCTGGTGAGCAAGGGGCTCAAGGGGAAACTGAGGAAGGAGCTTGCACTTCTGTGTGGCTGAGGAGGGCACCCATCTGAGGCCCTGCCCGCTCCCTGCTTTGGCTTCTCTGTTCCCAGTCTGCTGATTCTCAGGAGGCTTTGCCACCTGAAGAACCAGGAGGTCGAGCAAGGGAAGAAGAGCTTTCCAGCTCCCGTGCCTACCTGAGATCTGAGAGGCACCATCCTGCAGAATGGCCTTGGTCCCAGGCCTCCATGTGCACTGTGGCAGACAGTGCCAGCCGATCACCGCTCTTTCCTGACCCAGACACAGCCTCATGCTCTTCAGCCAAGTGCCCCAGGGAAGCCCACCACCGATCGGTCAAGCTTGGGGTAAAAGACGAAGCCTATTTGCTTCCCTGTATTCACGTGGGGCTTATCAAGTATTTACTAAGCACCTTCTAGAAGCTTGGAGATGACTACAAGCCATGGTCCCTGAGCCCAAGACACTTACAGGCTTGTTTTCTGGGAGGATTGGGGCGGATTAGAGACCGCCTTCTGGTCAGTGACCACACAATGGGCCATCTTGGTCTCTGTCCGTATCTGGTTTGGGGGTTTTAGCAGGACTAGGCCTAGACTAAGGACAGGGAGGGCCCAAGTTCTGGCCGGGTCCAGGGTCCTGGGATCCAGGGCCATTTGGGACCTGTGAGAATGGACGGACAGCATGTGATGGGGCATGGGGTCTGTGCCCTCAGTATGTTCCCTTCACCCTCTTGTTGTCGGGGTCGAAGGGAGACTTCAGGTGGGCCCGGGCACCGTAGGTCACCCCCATTCTCTCCAGGGCATAGTCCCCGCTCTTCACAAAGTCCAGCGAGACCTAGGAGCAGAGGTGGGGATGAGGGTCACTGTCTGTGGTAGGTGCGGGGCTCAGGCCTGCCTGTTTCTCTGGAGGAGGGGTCTTGGTCTTGCTGCTTGCCCTGTGGGCAAACTCATCCCTGTGCCAGGGCCTCCTTCCCGAACCCAGGCATCGCCCCAGAGCAGGTGGAGTTCGTGTCCACGTGATCTCGAGTTGGACACGGGCATCTGGCATCCGGCAAAGCCAAGGTCTGGCAGCCAGTACGACTTCCACAGGACAACACACCTCCAGCCCCAGCGATTCCAGATGCCTGGGAAACAGCAGAAACACGGTGGTTTCCCCGGAGCCGGGCCGGAGCAGCGCCGAGGCTGGCGGCCAATCCGGCTCAAATCCCTCTGGGCAGGGGCGGCTGGAACAGCCTTCTAGACAGCTTGGCCTCTGCGTGCTCCCCATCCCACGCCCTGGCTTGGCCTCCCCAGCAAGCCCTCAGGAACTAGTCAGCCCCAGGTGCAGGTGCTCTTAGGGCAGGAGGAGGGCGTCACCTCCAGCCTGGTGCAGCTGGTGACGCTGGGCACTTTTGCCACGGCTGCTATGAGGAGGGCAGGCCGGGCCACTCAGGGAAGCTGTTCTCCCATTATAGCAATTAAACCCAAGGCCAGGGCCACAGGAGGCAGTCTCAGGTTCTACTCTGGGAGTCAGAGGGCTCCTTCTTATTCCTGGCAGCTCAGGACTGGATGAAATAAAATAAAAAAACAAATCAAGCTTTTTCTGTGACAGGAGCTTTAGGAGTGGCGCTTCTGAGCCATGTGTGCACCTGCAGGGCTGCGAGTTCTGAGCTGCCCCCCGCAGGAAGGCAGCATGGAGAGCTGGTGGCCTTCAGATGTCCCCAGGCAGGCACAACTCAAAGCGGGCACCTGGCCTTGCTAACAAATACCCACGAGGCAGAAACTCCTTCCCCATCTCGGAGCCTTTCCCTTCAATGACCAGGTTTCCCTATCTTAGGAAGAAACCTCTGCTACCCCACTTGGGTGCTAGAAAATGTTTAACAACAGCTTTGGAGTAAGGTGGGTGTGACTGTAGCGTTTGCCCATTTCCATGGTGCAAATGCTCTGGACAGCCCTGATGGAGGGGCAGGAGACATGCAGCAGCAGCTCTGGGTGCATCGACTGGTTTCCCGGCTGCCTGTCTGGATGCCATTGAACCTCGGCTTCCCTGGTCACGTTGGTTATGGACCCATCCCTGACCCTGGAGAAAGGCGAGCATTACTGTTCTTTGAAGAAATGGCAACGGAGCCTCTCCTCCCCAGCTCACCCTGGCATGGAACCCATAAACTCCGGTTTGGCTGGGCCCCAGGGCTGTGTCAGGAGGCCCTGCCCATGGTGGGAGCCACACCATCACAATCCCCACTTATTAAGACCCCACTCTGGGCAGTGGCCTGTATGACGGCCCTGCATGGTAGGTAAGTGTCCACATTTTATAAATGAGGAAACCGAGGCTCTAAGAGAGGATCCTTGTCCAAGGTCACAAAGCAAGTAAAAGGCAGATCCCAAAGCCTGGTGGCATCAAGTGTGTCCTGAGCCTCCTAGCTCCACCGCAGGACTCAGCCCCATGGGCTGCCACTTTCCCACAGCTCCACAGGACCATGGCCTTGCCTGAGGCCTGGTGGTGTCCCCTCCCCCTTGGGCCTGCGCATGTTCTGCAGCTCTTGCTAAGACTGCTCTGTCTCCAGCCTACCCCTCCTTGTGGCTTCTCCCAAGCGCTCCCTCCCTCCCCGATTCCCTCTATGTGCCCAGCAGGGACTCAGGCTGGAAGGTTCTGGAGTCAGGCCAGCACCTCCTGGCCTCACTTAGGGCTTGGGCCAAATGTCAGATCTGCTCCCATGGAGAGACGTGACCCTTCTCACTGGCACCTCTACGTGCGGCACCAGAAAGATGGGAAAAAGAGGTGGAGGTACAGACCACCCCTTCCCCTTCTGGGGAGGCTGCCCACCCCCTGCCCCACCACCCCTGGCCACCCAGAGCTGTCCTGGGACTTGCTTCTGGGGGCAGTGCCTGCTCTTTCCGGCCTGCTCCTGCCTCCTGCAGCCAGGGACCAGGGTCACCTGGTGAGTGTGGGGTTCCCTGAGGTCAGGGGTGTCTGGAGTGAGGAAAGAGAGGAGAATAGAAACATGGGTCGCTGAGTCTGAGTCTCTGGTTGGTCACCCTGGGGCCACCCCTGCACCCCAGGCAAAGGGTGGGCCGTGGGCAGCTTGAGGTTTGGGTCTCTGGTGTCAGGAGCCGGAAGGTATCAGCCTTGCTGGCTGGCACCTCCTTCTAACCAAAAAAAGCCTGGAACCACCAAAGTCAGATTCTTCCAGAAAGAAAACAGAGAGCAGCTTTGGCTCTGCCCAGGCACAGCTGGGGAGTCCTCCACCTGCTGAGGCCTCTTCCTCTTTCTCCTTCCCCCTCCTCCCTCTCCCTCCTCCTTCTTCCTCTCTCCCTTTTCCTTCCCCCTCCTTCTCCTTCCTTCCTCCCCCTCTTCCCTCCTCCCTCCTTCTTCCTCCTCTCCCTCCTCCCTCCTTTCTCTTCCCTCCTCCTCCTCCTCCTTTCTCTTTCCTCCTCCTCCTTCTCCTTCCTTCCTCCCCCTCTTCCCTCCTCCCTCCTTCTTCCTCCTCTCCCTCCTCCCTCCTTTCTCTTCCCTCCTCCTCCCCTGGACCCCACCCGTCCTCCTCCCTGTGCCCGGCACACTCAGGGTGCAGTGCAGGGTGCTGGTTTGGAGCTGGGGAGGAATCGGCATTTGCCTCAGCAGGGCCAGAGAAGGCGACTCACCGGCCCACCACTGGGGTCATGGATGTAACCGTAGGCGATGGTCTTGTCGATGGCGAACCCAAAGTCGGCCCTCCGGACATGGCCCACCACTTGGCCGTTCCTCCAGATGGCCTCCAGGCCAAACATGGGTACTTTGCTGGAAGAAGCAGTAGAGAAAGCTGGGGCCCCAGAAACCACAGGGTGGGGACGCATCCACAGTGGCCTGGAGGAGAATGGGGGGCTGCATGGTGCCCACCCAACCGTGGCTCCACACAGATAGGGCTGGCCTACTAGGACCTCACTGGTCCCCAGAGCCAGCCCAGCACCTGGCCTGGACACCACGGCTCAGGCTTCGAGTGAGTAAAAGGGATGAGCGGAAAACAGCGAAACCAGTAGACTTTGCTGTTTCCAGAAGCGAGCCCCGCATATTTGGGAGAGCCCCTGCCTCCGATTTCCTTCCACTGCTCTTCAACTCCGTTTTTTTTTTGTTTGTTTGTTTGTTTTTTTGGTGTAGTGGGGCAATCTAGACTCGCTGCAACCTCCACCTCCCAGGTTCAAATGATTCTCCTGCCTCAGCCTCTGGAGTAGCTGGGATCACAGGCGTGCGCCACCATGCCCAGATAATTTTGTATTTTTAATAGAGATGGGGTTTCTCCATGTTGGCCAGGCTGGTCTAGAACTCCTGACCTCAAGTGATCTGCTCGCCTCAGCCTCCCAAAGTGCTGGGATTACAGGTGTGAGCCACTGCACCCGGCCAGGTTCATTTTTTTTTCACAGTACAATACATACTTTATTCAAAGGACTTTGCTACATGTAATACATGAATGCTCACCATAAAAGCTTTAAAAATTAAAAGCAGGAAGACAAAGGAAAAAAGTAAGATAAAATCAAAGAAAGGCCAGCACCCAGGGCTAACTGGTAATACTTTGTTGCCAGTCTGCAGACTTCTCCATGTGCGATGGGTTATCACAGCTGCAGCTGTGCAAAGGGGCCCCTGAATGGAAGGGCCGGGGTGAGGCTGAGGGGGCCTCCTGTATCCTCAGCCTGGAGTCACTGTTTGGGTCCCACCTGTCAATCAGATTAGGATGAGGCTGGAAGGAGGTTTTGTAAACATCTTTGGTTTCGCCCTAGTTTTCTTTTTTTCTTTTCTTTTTTTTTTTTTTTTGAGACAGAGTCTCGCTCAGTTGCCCAGGCTGGAGTGCAGTGGCGCGATCTCGGCTCACTGCAAGCTCCGCCTACCGGGTTCACGCCATTCTCCTGCCTCAGCCTCCTGAGTAGCTGGGACTACAGGCGCCCGCCACCACGCCCAGCTAACTTTTTGTATTTTTTAGTAGAGACAGGGTTTTACCGTGTTAGCCAGGATGGTCTCGATCTCCTGACCTCGTGATCTGCCCGCCTCGGCCTCCCAAAGTGCTGGGATTACAGGCGTGAGCCACTGCGCCTGGCCTCGCCCTAGTTTTCATTCTCCACCTGAGGACACTGAGGCTCCAACTGCCCGGAGTCCCAGAGTAGAGTGGCAGGGCCGTTCTCTGTGACTCCACTGCCAGCGTCCTCTCTGCGTCTGTCCTGGAACCGCAACAGTCCAGAGCCGCGGCGCAGAGCAGCTATTATGCAGCCTGACAGAAAAGCCCTGAGCAGAGCGCACTGGGTCACAGGGGCTGTCCAAGGCCCTCCTAACCCAGACATCAGGCTGCAGGTGCTTCCTGGAGGGTCAGAAGGTCGGGGTCAGGCAGGCAGAAGGGACCCATGGACGCTGACCTGTCTGCAAGGGGCCCCCTCTCCGGGAGCTGAGCTGATCCCGGGAGCTGGACAGGCTGTCACGTGAAAGGCAGAGCCTGACAGGCACCCAGGGAGAAGCCACAGGACGAAGACAGCACGGCCCCGGCTCTCACGAGGCCCTCCCTCGCCGCCTCGACCCGTCCGCCTCTCGCCTGCTTGCCGCTAATCGCTGGACGGCCTTCTTTTTCTCAACCCCCGCTCCCCTCTGCCCGTCGGCACGGCTCTCTTCTCCCCCTCACCCGCCGCTTCGCTCTCACCGTTCCCTCTCCCTCACCCTCCCTCTCCCCTCACCCCGTCTCCCTCACCCTCATCTCCCCTCACGCTCTCTCGCTACCCTCCCTCACCCCCACGCCTCTCTCTCCCCACCCCTCACCTCTGCTCTCCGCTCACCTCCCTCTCCCTCACCCTCCCCTCTCCCCTCACCCTCTCTCTCCTCACCTCCCTCTCCCCTCACCCATCTCTCTACCTGACCTCCCTCTCCTCACCCTCCCTCTCACCTCCCCCTCTCTCCCTCACCCTCCCTTCCCGTCACCCTCCTCTCCCTCACCCTTCCTCTCCCTCACCTCTCTCCCTCACCCCTCCCTCTCCCTCACCCTCCATCCCTCCACTCCTCCCCCTCTCCCTCACCTCCATCTCCCCCTACCCTCCCTCCCCCTCACCTCCCTCTCCCTCAACCCCTCTCTCCCTCTCCCCTCACCGTCCCTCCCCTACTCTCCCTCTCCTACCCTCCTCTCCTCCACCCTCCCTCTTTCCCCTCATCCCCTCCCCTCACCCTCCCTCTCCCCTACCTCCCTCTCCCCTCCTCCCTTCCTCACCCTCCCTTGTCTTCCCTACCTCCCTCTCCCCTCCTCACATCTCTCTCCCGCACCTCCCCTCCCTCGACCTCCTCTCTACATCCTCCCTCTCCCTCACCCTCCCTCTCCCTCACCCTCCCTCTCTCACATCCTCCCTCTCCCTCACCCTACCTCTCTCCTCGCTCTCCCTCATTCTCATCCTCCCTCACCCTCACCCTCCCTCACCCTCACCCTCCCTCTCCCCCACCCTCCCTGTCCCTCACCCTCACCCTCCCTTTCCATCACCCTCCCTGTCCCTCACCCTCCCTCTCCCTCAACCTCCCTCTCCCTCCCCTCCTCACTCTGACACTCCTTTTGAAGGCTCCAGAAACCTGGGAGAAGTGGCAGTGTTTGCAGCTGGCTGTCAGCTCCACGTCCACAGAGCCCAAAGCTGCACAGGGAGACCTGTGCTTCGGACCCCCACAGGCACCACGGGAGGCCTCTGCGCAGGGCCTCATCCTCTCAGACTGCCCTGCAACCCAAGGGGGACTCGGGTCCCTGGAATCCAAACTCTCCTAGTAGCTCAGGGAGCACCGGGCTCCAGCAGCATGCTCAAAGCCACTCTCAGTGGGGAGAGCAGGAGGTCAGGTTGACCCCAGGCAGAGTCTCTCCTTCCACCTCTGCTGTGTGACTGGGCGCGAGTCCCCTGCTCCTTGGCACCATGTGGTCTCCATTTGTAAATGAGGATGGCGGCCCCAGCACAGTCCCTCTACCCCCCATCACAGGGCTGTGGGGAAACTGAACCAGAACAGGATGGGAGGTCATGGCTCAGTGACTGGGAGGCCAGGCTCCCTGGGTTCACCCTTCCAAGGCCCTCAGCCTAGACCCGCCGCAGAGGGGTGGCCTGGGCTTGGCTGCACCTTTCTCTTTTGAGACCTGCATTCGAAGAGCGCAGAGCCTTCCCTATCTCCCCACGGGCCCTGCTGGCCTGGGAGGGGCCCCAGGTGTGCAACCTTACACTGGCCTGGTTTGAATCCCAGCACTTTGGGATCCTCACACCTGTAATCCCAGCACTTTGGGAGGCTGAGGCAGGCGGATCACGAGGTCAGGAGAGTTCAAGACCAGCCTGGCCAACATGGTAAAACCCCATCTCTACTAAAAATACAAAAATTAGCTGGGTATGGTGACAGGCGCCTGTAATTCCAGCTACTCGGGAGGCTGAGACAGGAGAATCACTCGAACCTGGGAAGCGGAGGTTGCGGTGAGCCGAGATCGCGCCACTGCACTCCAGCCTGAGCAATAGAGTGAGACTCCGTCTCAAAAAAAAAGAAAGAGCAAATTCTCTCTGCCTTTCTGCCTTTAACAGCATGTGACCTGGCCAGATGGCCACTCTCTGGCCTTGATTTCCTTATCTGCAGTGGACTGCTGGGTGTGTTCCGGAAGAGCATGGCTGGCACATGGGAAGTGTTGGTACCAGGGGCTTTGACTGGGGGACTGAGAAGCGCCTGCCTGCCCTGGCTGTAGGCAGTTGCTTCCGGGTGGGTGTGGGACAGCGGGATACTCACTCCTCCACGGTGAAGCACACCAGGCGCCGGCGGAGGCCTGCGGCCCGCTGCTGCTCCAGGGCCTCCCTCCCCAGGAAGGGCACCGGTGACTTGAGCTTGCAGGTGAAGGCCAGGCCTGCCTCCAGGGGGCTGTCGTCCGACCGCAGGTCTGCATGCCAGTGCCGGTAGCCTGTGGGAAAGGAAACCACCGGGTTGGTGCCACCCTAAGGGGGATAAGCCCTTCAGGAGATGCATGAGGATGCTGCCTAAACCTACCCCCTCCAGCCCCTTAACCCACACTCTCAGAGCTGCTTAGTCACCTGGGCAGGAGGCAGGGGCATCCCCAACTCCAGAAGGTTCCCTGGGGTGACCCCCCCACTCCCCGAGAAGACTGCCCATCAGCACTGCAGCCCTCTGCACCCTCAGGTGGGGGTGTCAGGGAGGGGCTCGTGAAGGGGGAGCTTCCCAATGCCCAAGCTGGGTGCCCAACACCCTGGGGAATTGCCCAAAGCCCGCTCTGAGCCTCCATCCTTGCTGTGGACAAGGGTCTGGGCTTCTTCCAGAGGCCACAGCACCTGCTCCCCTGCTCTATTCTTCACAGTTCTCAGAGAAACCAAGGCCCTCCATTCCAACCCAGCCTGGGCCTGCCTCCCAGGTGCCGGGCAGCACCTCAGCTCTCTGCGTCCAGGTGTGCGCAGGTGTCGCAGATCCCAACACTGCCCCTGGGGCCCTGCATGAAGACCCTGGGCAGCAAGAGGGTTTGGGGAAATGGAGGATGTCAGGCGCTGGGGTGTGGGGGAGGAAATCATGGTGTGGAAAGAAGGAAGCCGGGTGACAACACAGGGAAGGTAAACAGCTTCTCGGCCTCCAGGTGTCTCAAGCATCACCCCCAACCAGCCCCTCTCCCTCTCTGCCCCGTGCCCTGTGCCAACCAGACCCTGCACTCACCCTTCTCAGTGCTCAGGGAGTCAATGGCGCGGTACCCTGCATTGACGAGGCCGTGCTTGGCACCTGCGGCCATCACAGCCCGGTACACAGGTATGCAGGACACCTTTGGAATGTGCAGCTCCCAGCCCAGCTCCCCCACGAAGGACAGCCGCATGGCCCGGACCTGGGGGACAAGGTCATGGCTTAGATGTGGCCATGTAAGATGGCCGAGGTCCAGGCCCAGGCTACCACTTCCTGGTGGACAGCTCCTACCGTCACCATGATTACCAGCTGGCCCTGGGTCCCAGCCAGACTGCCACCAAGAAATGGGGTCTTGAAGAGCTGCTCCCTCCAGCTGCTCCGGAAATCTTTGAGGAGAAGTAGGGGGTCCCCTTTGGGAAGGGGAGATGGCAGGTTTGCTGTCTGTAGACCTCAGATTTTCTCCAGGACTGGGTTGGTTTCCTGTCTGTCATAACAAATGACCACAACTGGTGGCTTAAATCAATAGCAGGAAACTCCCTCTCAGTTCTGGAGGCTCAAAATCCAAATTCACCATGTGGGCGAGCCACGCTCCCTCTGCAGGCTCGGGAGACGTGGAGACGACCCTTCCACTCTCCAGGGAGCGTCCTGAGCGCCTCCAGGTGTCCCTCAGCTTGTGGCTGCGTCACTGTGATCTCTGCCTCAGCCCTACAGCCTCCCCTCTGTGTGTCTTCCAAGGACACTTGTCACTGGAGTGAGGACCTTCCCTATCCCTACATAATGTCATCTGGAGATCCTGACCTTAATTACACCTGCAAAGATCCTATTTCCAAATAAGGCGAGTTACAAGGCAGGTTCTGGCGAGTTAGGATGTAGACATATGTTTTGGGGGTCACCATTCAGTCCACAGCAGTGACCTGGGACAAGCTTCTCACCCTTCCCTGTCTGTAAGACGGGGTTGGGAGCCCAGATTCATCTGTTTCAGAAGCTCTGAGACACATCTGCGAGGAAGAGGGGGAAGGCAGCAGCCCAGCTCAAGGGACACCACCCTGGCTGTGCTCGGTGGGGACAGAGGCATCGGGGAAGGGGACAGCCAGGTGCCAAGCCCGTTGTCCGAGGAGCCCATCACCCACCATTCTGGTCAGCCCCGGCCTGGCACAGGGCTCTGAAGACAGCCATAGCCTCTGCCCCTCAGGACTCAGCTCGGCCGTGAGCACAGCCATGTTCTGGGTGGGGAAGAGGCCGGAAAGCAAGGCCTCTGCCTGGGACGCCAGACCAGGCTGGCAGGCAGAGCAGGAGACTGCCACTGCAGACAGGCCTTCCAGGTGAGGGTGCAAAGGCCCGGTGCTGGGCAGCGGATATGGCGGGAGGCAGGAGAGAAAGGCCTGTGGGGCTGTGGATACCTGACTGTGAAAGACGTGGTGACCCCAAGCCCTGCAGAAGTGACAGTGCCGATTATGTGCTCGTGAGCTAAGCTTCATCTCGTCCCTCCGTGGCCCATGCAACGGTGGGAACACTGTCAATCATGTCCATGGGCTGAGGCAGACACAGAGGCTCCCAGAGGCACTGAGCCGGGCCTAGGCACACCCAGCTCTGCCGAGGACAGCTGGTGTCTTTGGGAGGATGTGTCCTGCACATCTGCACATCAGGCTAGCACTTGGCTCCGTGGAGGCCACAGGCAGCGTGGGGGGCTCCTTGCACAGGAGACGTGATTTTCCTCACACACTTGATTCAGGTGCGTGGCACATCCACACCCAGTAACTAGAGTCTGCGTCCTCACCTTCAAGCAAACCCTTGAACCCACTGACTCCCATGGGAAAGCCTGAGTGCTCAGCCCTGGGACCACAGAGCTCACAAAAGGAACGGGGAGAGCTAGGCTGACTGCAGGATCCCAGACAGTGGAGGAGCTGATTCCACCGCTGTTCTGAGCGGAAAGGCCCTCCCCGTACAGCTCCCGCTGGGATACATCTGTGGGAGGGAGGGCAGAGGCCGCTCTCCCAACCACAGGGGCAGCTCCTTATAAACCTGACACTTTAATCACTTGGCCTCCGAGGGGCTGGATTCTAAAAGCTTTGGAAATAGCGCAAATTGTTCTAGGCTGCCATTTGCCCAGGCCTCCTACAAAACTCAAAATTGACACAGAAAATGTACTGTTGACATTTCCCTGCTTCCCTGGTGCAAGTCGTAGGCCCCTGACAAAGATTGCCTTGTCAACGGGGTTCTAATTTTAGACAGCCTATGGAGGATCTCAGGGCTCAAAGCCAATCACATTTTGAAACAGGAAAAATAATTTTTAAAGTGCACCGATCCACGGCCCTCCAACTGTGGGTCCCTGTTCAGACAAAGACCCGCCACCCAGCTCAGTGAGAGTTCACGGGTGGAGGGGAGGGAGCAGTCCCATCCTTCCTGGCTCCAGCAGCTCAGCAAGGATGGAGTCGGCTGGGTCCGGGTCTCCATCATACCCTGTGCACAGCCTGGCCCAAGAAGCAGTCCCTGAACGAAGGAGGAAAACGGGGGCCACACCTGCTTCCCAACAAAGTGAGGGAGTCTGGGGAAATCCAGGGGCCTCTCTAACATCACAGAATCACTGGTTGTTGAGGCATCTTGCATTTTTCTCCACCAAAGCAGTAGAGTGGGATCAGTCCCCAGTTCTTCCAAGTGGTGACCCACAAGGAAAGGGACAGGCCGAGTGAGGACATCTGGAACATGGGCTCCCAGTCAGCTGGGCTTGGGTGGGAACAGCATCTCCCAGCGCCCATGGGGGTCGGCCCACTCGGCCTCAGTGCCCTCCTCTGACCCATCAACCAAGGATGGCACGTGTGCACCAAGCACGTGGTCCCGGCACGCGGCCCTTGGCCACTTTGGCTCAGGTGGGCTCTGAAAGCCCCAAACTGCAAGATGGAACTCCTGGCCATGGATGGAGTCACAGAATTGTGGAAGATCAGCAGGAAGGGCCTCATGTCAGGTTTTGTTTAAACCCTTTCCACATCCCGAAAATTCCACGCAAAAAAACCTGCTGAAAATATTAAACGAAGTCAGCAAAGTTGCAGAAAGCGAAGTCAAATGAACCGTCACGTATGTGTTCACACGATTTCGACAAGGGCGCTTGAAGCCACTCACAGGGAAAGAGTCTCCAACAAGTGGTGCTGGGAGGATCCGACAGCCACGTGCAGAAGCGTGAAGCTGGTCGCTTACCTTACATCACGTCCAAATATTAACTAGACATGGAACAAAGACATAAGGGTAAGATCTGTAGCTGTACGGCCTCTGGAAGAAAGCATGGGGAGTTGGAAATGGCAAGGGTTTCCTGGAGAGGACACTGAAAGCACAGGCCACAAAAGCAAAAGTCAGATGGAAGGACATTCATCACAAGCACTTTCGGGCATCGGAGGACACTAAAAAAAGTGAAAAGGCAACCCACGGGATGGGAGAGAACATTTGCAAGTCTCACATAGGATAAGGGCCTTCTACCCAGACAGAATAAAGAACTCCTACAACTTAATAAAAAGTCAAATACCACCATTAAAAATGGGCAAAGGGGCCAGGTGTGGTGGCTCATGCCTGTAATCCCAGCACTTTGGGAGACCAAGGTGGGAGGACCATCCGAGGTCAGGAGTTCGAGACCATCCTGGCCAACATAGTGAAACCTTGTTTCCATTAAAAATATTTTTTTAAAAAATTAGTTGAGTGTGGTGGTGTGTGCCTGTAGTCCCAGCTACTTGGGAGGCTGAGGCGGGAGAATCACTTGAATCTAAGAGGTGGAGGCTGCAGTGAGCCGAGATTGTGCCACTGCACTCCAGCTGGGGCAACAGAGCCCATCTAAAAAAAAAAAAACAATGGGCAAAGGACTTGAATCAACAATTCCCAAATACAAATGAAAATGGCCAACAGGCCCAGGAAAAGATGCTCCACATCACTACCCATCAGAGGCACGCAAATCCAAGTCACAGTGAGTTATCACTTTGTGCCCATGAGGATGACAATTATAAAAACAAGAAAAAGGAAGTAAAAAGTGTTGGTGAGGATGTGGAGAAACTGGAGCCCTTGTGCACTGTTGATGGAAATGGAAAATGGTGCAAGCACTGTGGAAAACAGGGTGGCAGTTCTTTAAAACATTAAAAATACAACTTCCATGGGATACAGCAACCCCACTTCTGGGTATACACCCAAAGGAATTGAAAGGAGGGATTCAAAGAGGTATTTGCACACTCATGTTCACAGGGTTATTCACAATAGCCAAGAGGTAGATGCAACCCAAGTGTCCATCAACAGAAGATGAACAAGCGGGGCATGGTGGCTCACACCTGTAATCCTGCTACTTGGGGAGGCCAAGGCAGGAGGACTGCTTGAGCCCAGGAGTCTGAGACCAGCCTGGGCAACACAGGAAAGCCCTGTCTCTACAAAAAATTTTAGAGTTAGCTGGGTGTGATGGCGTGTGCCTGTAGTCCCAGCTACTTGGGAGGCTGAAGGGGGAGGATCACTTGAGCCCAGGAGGTTGAGGCAGTGAGCTGAGATCGTGCCGCTACACTCCAGCCTGGGTGACAGTGTAAGACCCTGTCTCAAAGAACAAAAACAAAAACACCAGAAACAGATGATGAACAGACAAAATGTGTTCTATCCACACAAAGGAATATTATTCAGCCTTAAAAAGGAAGGAAATTTGGACGCATAACACAACGCGGATGAACACATTATAAACGCATCATGCTAAGTGAAGGGAGCGAGTCACAGAAGGACAAATCCTGTCTGATTCCACTCATATGAGGTCCCTGGAGTCACCAAATTCATAGACAGCGAGAGCAGAATGGAGGGCACAGGGGCTGGGGAGGGGGAAAGGGAGTTGCCTCAATGCGGACAGAGCTTCAGTTTCATAAAATGAAGACATTCTGGAGGTTTGTTTCCCAACAATATGAACACACTTAACACTACAAAACTGTACACTTAAACTAACAAACCAGCCAACAAACCAGCTCCTTTTCTTCATGGGAAACTGAGGCTAGGAACTAAGTGACCGGCACTTTCTCGACATCCTGGGCCACAGGAACAGAGGAGCCAGGGGGTGCAGACAGAGATGGGAATTTGGGGAATGTGAGGGAATGGCCCCAGGCCAGACAGGAAGCTGCATCCTGTGTCCAACAGAAGGTCAAGGAGATACCAGAGACACCAGGCGGGTGGGGAGCAGGGGGAAAGGCGGTACTTAAAAAG